AGTGAAGCATGGTGGCAGCAGCATCGTGCTGTGGGGGTGTTTTTCAGCAGCAGGGACTGGGGGACTGGTCCGGGTTGAGGGAAAGCTGAATGGAGCAAAGTACAGAGATATCCTCAATTAAAACCTGTTCCACAGCACTCAGGACCTCAGACTGGGCCAAAGGTTCACCTTCCAACGTGACAATGATCCTAAGCACACAGCCACAGGAATGGCTTAGGGACAACTCTGTGAATGTCCTAGAGTGGCCCAGCCAGAACTCTGACTTGAACCCTATTGAACATCTCTAGAGAGACGTGAAAAGGGCTGTCCACCGACAGTCCCCATCCAACCTGATTTAGCTTGAGAGGATTTGCAAAGAAGAATGGCAGAAAATCCCCCAATCCAAGTGTGCAAAGCTTGGCGCGTCATACCGAAAAAGACTTGAGGCTCTAATTGCTGCCAAAGGTGCTTCAACTAAGTACTGAGTAAAGGGTCTGAATACTTAAGTATCTGTGATATTTCCGTTTTTTCTTTTTAATAAATTTACAAACATTTCTAAAATTCTGTTTTCACTTTGTCATTATTGGGTACTGAGTGTAGATTAATGAGAAAAAAATGAATTTGAACTATTGTAGTATCAGGCTGCAACATAACAAAACTGAAAAAAGTGAAGAGGGTCTGAATACTTATGCCAATGTGATATTTCAGTTTTTTCTTTTTAATAAATTTACAAACATTTCTAAAATTCTGTTTTCACTTTGTCATTATTGGGTACTGAGTGTAGATTAATGAGAAAAAAATGAATTTGAACTATTGTAGTATCAGGCTGCAACATAACAAAACTGAAAAAAGTGAAGAGGGTCTGAATACTTTCCAAATGCACTGTATCTGCTAAGAAGCAGATATGTTATTCTTTCCTAAAAATTGGCCACTTTAATATACTTATTTAACTGCAAAATCTGTCCCAGAAGCGTGCAGTTATCTTTAACTAGTTGATGCTTTCAAACCTAAAGTTGAGATCCAAGAGCAAACCTGAAGCCCCAATACCACATGAAGCCCAGTGAGGCCCTCAAGAACTTTTCTCAGGATTATTACAGAATTGTATTTTTTATCATGCAGACAAGGGAAGTAAGTTAGTTTATTTATGAGATTTATAGCCGAAGAAACTATATTCATTGTATCTCATTAGTGGAAAGCAAATTTAGATTTTGTCTTAGCCTCCGAATGGCTAAGGATTCTTGGCTGAGCACTTAGAGGTCAAGTGCCCAAAAAGGTGTACGTCCCAGCCTTGTGCTCCATGCATTCCAGACTGTCTCAGCACTCTTGAATACTCAATGCTTGAAGCAAAGGCAGTTTTAAGATGAAGCACCTAGTTATTGCAATTCAGTGACCAAAAGGTGAGGCAATGAGGAACTACCATGGATTTTGCTAAAATGTTAGTTTCTGATTCTCTAGAGCTATAGGAACATTTCTGCAAGTTTTCTATTTCTTCTGTAAGAATTAATATTTAATACACTTTTGTGAAATGAAGACACAAATACATAGTATGAGCACAACTCTACTGTTAATATAGCAGCTTTTTGAAAATCTGAAATGAACTTCAATTTGATCCCCTCCTTAGAGAGGGCATGGGTTTGCATAATAAAATCTACTGATATAAATTATGATTAAATGGTACTGTGTATAGCAAATAGACATTAAAGCAGTAAGTGTTCTCTACTTTTAAGAAATGATGAACCAGGGTTAAAATATTAGCACAGACTAATAGAAATATTACCAGTATCAACCAATGAAAAAAATGGGTGCATTCACAAATTATCTATCCCATTGATGATTCTCATTATTACTCTTATGCAGATGTACTATGGGAGAGGATCTGGCAAGAAATTTCCTACCTGAAGACTATAATTATGTCTCACAGTTTGAAATGTTAAGTACACATTCTAAGTGAAGGACAATGAATATGTTTCAAAACAATAACATTTTGACCACTGGATTATATTAAATTGAAAAAAAAATATTCAGCTAATAGTCCAAAACTTCAAATCCCCAAAATTTAGTGTGGTTTCATCTATGACTGCTAGGCAATAGATACTTCTGCCATGTCCTACTGTATCAAAAATATAGTATACTGCTACAGTAGTGTAGTTGTTTTATTCTTTTGGTAAGTTCACAATGATATTGTTTGAGGCTGTTGTTGAAAAAAATAGATAAGAATAATTTCACATTCAAAGTTCGTAAGGAATCCATCACTTCCTTTTGGAAACTATTCTATAGGATAATATATCATGACTGAGCAGTAGTTTCCTGATAGCTTTCCAAGAATTTAATCCACTTATTTCGTATTATATACCCTCATGCCATCTGAAATAACTTATCACCATTCTTGGTGTTTACAAGACTTAAATATCTCAAGACTTGAATATCTCAAGACTTGAATCTATTTACTTATTTTATATCCATGCTATATATATTCTTAATCCCATCACATAAATCAATCCTTCCTAAATGCTCTGATAATGTTTATTTCAACAGTGATCTCTAACATTTTGATAAAAGACAGAGATGATAAATATGCAAAGCTAATTACTAATATCTTTGTACTGTTACAGAGAAAAGAAAACATATTAGGACACATATCCTTCAAACTGTTGATCAAACTTTTAATCTGAAATATATTCTGAAATATAAATTAAATCCACTTGCTTGAATTAACATTCCTTTTCATTTTAATTTTTGTAGTGACATATAATACTGTTTTGTAGCATAACACTGTTACTGCTTTCCTTGTATATATGAACTGAAAATTACTCTTCATATTTATCCTTGTTTATGATGGCAAAGACTTGTCAATTAAGGCTTGCTGAAACTGCTCAAAAAGTTTGGTTTAAGAACAATTCAATCCTGTTTCAAAAAGCAGTAATACCCAAACTGAGTAACCATAAATCATCTGCAGTTATTAATTTAGGAATACAGGAATTCATATATTTTACCTGAAGTACTATTCAGATAATATTATAATGTATGTGTTTGTATACATCCATATATATATTTTATCAGTTTTCTCACTCAAATTTTTACATATGGACCAACAGATTTAGCTGAAGTTTGGATACAATTAGCTAACTCTTTAGAGGATGAAAATAGATTAAGCATTAGAAATGAGAAAAGAACAGGATGAGACACTCACCTTTCTACCATATGAGTCTGATCTAAGGATAACCCATCAATGGCTGTGCATTCTGGACATTTGAATTTCTTTCTGGGCGTCACCTATATAAAGACAGTATATAAAGACAATATAACCATAGACTTAACAGTGCAAACATTAATCTCTCTACTCAAAAATGCAACATTTGAAATGCAACCTATTTGGCAAATGTAAATCACATTCTTGAATATGAAGGAAAAAAATATCCATGCCATTTACTTCCATCTGGCTTAGCTGACAGCAAAGCTCACAGTGGCCCAATAAAAAATAGTCTTGGAGGGGTTTTGCCTGCTATAAGTGGAAAGTAGCAGTGATGACAAGCTTCTTAATTCCTGTTTAATGATTGTTTTCTCACTGCCAAGGTTCCTGTATAAACACCATTTGTTCTTGAAGCCATAAAAGTGATGAAATATAGCTTCCCATACTTCACCGTAACCTTAATCCAACAGACACACTTTGCTCATTTAATAGCTGATTGGCAAACTCTGTGAGGCTCTCCCAACTGTATGACTTAGCAGTGCCCTAGCAGAGTTTGGAACTCTCACAGCAAAAACACATGCTTTATCTTTTGAGGCTTTTCTCAGAAACACAACCACTGGTCTGGGTAAAAGGTGATGGACAGACAGGAAAACAGACCTTGCTAACTGAAGCAATGCCTTGAGGCCTCTAAATCTCATTCCAAGTTGACACATTTCAAAATGAACTGAAAATGAGGATCTAGGCCAAAAATGTATTGAAGTATATCAGGAAATTCATTCAGGAATAAAAGTTCATATAAAAACTGATCTTGCAATTAATGTTTTTGCAATGAATAGTCTAATAAATCAGCTCTTGAGATAGACCGAAATGGATTGTTCCTCCTCGCCCCCAACCCTCTTAAATCTTGTTTATTTTTTAAAAATGGTTTAACTTTCCCCCTTGAGTTCTCCTGCAGCTATCTGGTCATAATGATCACAACCAATGGAGTATATTTATTAACAAAAAGATGTATGGATTTGGGGAGTTGAGTCTTTTACAAATAGATGGGATCATCTTCAAAGTAAATGAGAAAAGAGGCACAGGACTCTATTAAGCTATGTTGAAACTATCTATATAATCATGTAATCTATGATACTGCTGCATAATTGACCCCGAGGAGCCACTGAATAAAATCTCACCTTAATAACTGCTTTCCCAGTTACATTGGCCACTAGAAAATTCATGGCAATATCTTCACAATTCATATGAGCATCCACCCAGTTCTTGATGTCCCCAGGCATTTTATATGTGTACAAGTAATTAAAGTACTAAAGAAATAGCACAGAAAGAAAAATGTTTAGTTTTTAGGAACATGTGCCAGAGTTGAGGCACTAATAAAACTTTATGTGGAATGAGTACCTAATGTGCAAGTTTATCCAAAACATATTTTTAATGCTTATATCATACCCTATCAGCAGCTTTTCTCAGATGCATTGAGTGATATAGTAACATCACTGAGTTATATGATCCAAAAAAAATCAAACCATATGAGGCTGATGTTTCAGATGGCAAGAGAATGACGAGACAAGTATTCCAAAGACACAGATCCCTTTTACTGAAAAGCCCCTCTCTGGCTGACATTTAGCTAACAGAAATAGAGATCTTCAAGACAACAGCCAATGTAAATATGGCATGGGGCAGATATGTGGGAATAGATGGTCTTTAACCATGCAAGTTGTTAAAACTAAGCATTTTACAGGTAGTCCTTGACTTACAACCATTTGTTTAATGACCATTAGAAGTTGCAACAGTGCTGAAAAAGTGATTTACAACTGGTCCTCGCACTTACAACTGTCACAGTGTCTCCAGAGTCATGTGATCAAAATTCAGGTGCTTGGCAACTGGCATGTATTTATGATGGTTGCAGTGTCCTGGGGGCATGAGATCGCCATTTACGACTTCCCAAAGAGTTTCCAACAAGCAAAGTCAATGGGGGAACCTGGATTTGCTTAATGACCTCATGATTCACTTAACGGCCATGGTGATTCACTTAAAGACCACGGCAAAAAAGGTAAAATTGGGTGCAACTCACTTAACAACCGTATTGTTTAGCGACAGAAGTTCTGGTCCCAATTGTGGTCATAAGTCAAGGACTACCTGTACACAATTTTCATTTTTAAACATAATTTGTTTTTTAAAAATACCCAATATATCATGCTGCCCAGGATTTATTCCCATTCAGTAGTTTAGCGAAAGTACCATCAGATATATCATTTTTTTAAAAAAAGGAATAATTCTTCCCCTCAGCAAGTCAGCTTTGCAAATGTATAAACAATTACAAATATTTTTTAAAAACTCTTTTTGAGAATTATAATTGTGCTGGGAGAAGATATCCCCAAAGACATAATATTAGCTCCATATGAAGGTCTGGATTTGAGTTACCTTAAATGTAGCCTCCCATATGCTACCTCCCAAGCTGATTCTAAAATTTTCAGAAGCATTTTAATGACATAGTATATATGGTGTCTTTCTGTCATTCAAAGGTAATAAATGCCATTATGTGGAGATATACAGTGGGGCAAATAAGTATTTAGTCAGCCACCAATTGTGCAAGTTCTCCCACTTAAAAAGATGAGAGAGGCCTGTAATTTTCATCATAGGTATACCTCAGCCACATTTCATCTTCAACGCCCTTGCTGATGGAAGGAGGTGTTGCCACATTTCATCTTCAACGCCCTTGCTGATGGAAGGAGGTGTTGCCACATTTCATCTTCAACGCCCTTGCTGATGGAAGGAGGTGTTGCCACATTTCATCTTCAACGCCCTTGCTGATGGAAGGAGGTGTTGCCACATTTCATCTTCAACGCCCTTGCTGATGGAAGGAGGTGTTGCCACATTTCATCTTCAACGCCCTTGCTGATGGAAGGAGGTGTTGCCACATTTCATCTTCAACGCCCTTGCTGATGGAAGGAGGTGTTGCCACATTTCATCTTCAACGCCCTTGCTGATGGAAGGAGGTGTTGCCACATTTCATCTTCAACGCCCTTGCTGATGGAAGGAGGTGTTGCCACATTTCATCTTCAACGCCCTTGCTGATGGAAGGAGGTGTTGCCACATTTCATCTTCAACGCCCTTGCTGATGGAAGGAGGTGTTGCCACATTTCATCTTCAACGCCCTTGCTGATGGAAGGAGGTGTTTACCTATGATGAAAATTACAGGCCTCTCTCATCTTTTTAAGTGGGAGAACTTGCACAATTGGTGGCTGACTAAATACTTTTTGGCCCCACTGTAACAATCTTTGCCTTTGCTACGATACCCATAACAATATAATTCCTGAGTTTAATTTTATGCTATTATAATTTCTTCAAAAATCAAAACCACCATGTAAATTCTAAGCATTAAAGTGACTTTAAAAAGACACCTCTGCTTTTGCATCCAGATTAGCTAGTAATCATTAAGAAACTATGGGTAGTCCTCATTTAGCAACTGCCTCATTTAGCGACCATTCAGTTACAACAGTGATGAAAAAGTAACTTTTCGATCAATCCTCGCATTTATGACCTTTGCAAGTCTGTAAAGCAAAGGAAAGGTGAAATAAGATCATAAGCACAGTCATGGTTTCACTTAGCAACTGCTTTGCTTAACAACTGAGTTGCTAGTCCCAATTGTGGTCACTAAACAAGGACTATATGTACAAGTGGGAACCTAGAAAAGGTATAGTATTTGAGATGTAGGAAAATGTTTCAAGTATTTTATCAAAACAGAATTTCTAACAAAACACTGTCTTATATATATCTTATGTCCAATAACATATAAAGATCAACGCCACATTTTGCAATAAACCTTTGATTCCCTACTTGTGGAATATAAGGATCCTTTTCCCTACACCAGTGTTTCTCAACCTTACCAACTTTAAGATGTGTGGACTTCAACTCCCAGAATTTCCCAGCCAGAATTCTGTGGGTTGAAGTCCACACATCTTAAAGTTGTAGAGGTTGCGAAACAGTGCCCTAGCCAATACTAAGCAAGTTCATAATTTCAGCTTCCCACCTGTTTTTGGACTCAGCTCTTACCTTGTGGTAAAATGCTGCCCCTGTTAGCACCATTGAAACTTCATTGGTCCACTCTGATTCATACTTCCATTTATTTGTTTCATGGTCCCACAAATGTAGGCGGCCAGGATATCCAACTAATCTATCAGGGAACTCTCTCCATACCTGCAGAACACAGTAAGTGAATCAATTTATTTCAGTAGGATAAAAAATGTCACAAAGAACAGCTAAGATTAAATATATTGTTAGAGGGTGTTGGGGAAGTAAAAAAGAAATGAATGTACTGCCTACTGTAGCTAACAGAGATAGCATCTCTTTCTCTCTCATACAGTACATCCACCCATCAGAGTTATACTAGCTGTTTTTGGTGACAGCATCTTAGGAATAATTCTTTGCTTTTAGAGCAATAGATCTACAAGCTGTGCTCCTCTTGTTTTTTGAATCTTTTGCTCTTGTACAAAAGCAAAATACGTCTCCACTATTGTGGCAATGTGCTTGTTTCTTTGGTAAATTTATATAGCCATATGTGACTCTGGGCAGCGAACAAAGTTAAAAAAGAACAGTACAACAAATAATTTAAAACATAACAAAAAAAAACATTAAAAACATCAAAAGCAGTAAAACCATTAAAACCCATAAAACATAATTCCAAAAACGGAACAAAATGCAACTGGTTTGGCAGAAGAGGCTTCAGGCAAGGTAGGAAGGAGAGAGGTAAGAAAAAGCCAAGTACATCAGCAGTAGCTATGGAAAAGCAGGGAAGGGAGTATCACTTAAGTCAGTGTTGTCCGAACTTGGCCACTTTAAGATGAGTGGACTTCAACTCCCAGAATTCCCCAGCCAGCCATGCTGG